GTAGGAAAAGTGCTAAATTTAAATTTTTTAGTATTTTCGTTTTCAATGAATATATATAGAAAATTTTTTCAAAGTAGATGTATGTGGAAAATGTATATATTTAGTTTATCCTCTAAACATTTATAGAGGTGCTGCAATAGGTTGTAAAAAATAACCGGAAAAGGCCTGTAATAACTAGATAGGAAAGTCATGTGTTGGACACATCAGATTTTTTCTTTCGTTTTTACTTTCCTATCTGTATACAGATATAAGGAAAGTATAGGAATCATGATTTTTTTCGACCTCGAGTTTTCGACGGATTTTTACGTTTTGAGGTCCCCTGAATCCGTTTTGACTATTTTCGCGATGATGTATGTGTGTATGTGTGTGTCTGTGTGTCGCATAACTCATGAACCGATACACAGAAATACACGAAATTTTAAACTTAAGCTTTGTTCCAGTGTCCAATGAACTGATTAGATTTTGAGCAGAGTCGGAATATCTGGGGGGTACTTTATAGGTGGTCATTTTTATATTTTATGGAATATATCTGTTATTTACGTTTGAGGAAGAACATTCTTCAAATAAAAGTTACTTCTTATATTATTATCTAAAATTTTTGTTCCATACAAAATTTTCCTAAAATGGTCAGTGTATTCCAGAAATTTGACAAAATGTAAAAATATATTTTTTTATAAAAATTGTTCAAATAAAAGTTGTTTGTAATATAATTCTCTATAATTTTTATCCTATACATAATTTCTCTTAAATGGACCGTATTCGAGAAATTTGAGAAAATTGTAAATTTTGAAATTTGAAGAAAACTCAGAAACGGATAAAAAAACATTAACGGCCTGACGTGAATGATTAGATTTTGGACAAAGTCGGAACATCTGGGGGGTACTTTATGAGAGGCCGTTTTTATATTTTATGGAATATATCTGTTATTTATGTTTGGAGAAAAAAATTGTTCAAATAAAAGTTACTTCTAATATTATTATCTATAATTTTTGATTCATGTCAAAATTTCCTGAAATGGTCCGCATTCGAGAAATTTGACAAAATGTGCAAAATTCTGATTTTTATGAAAATTGTTGAACTAAAGGTTGTTTGCGATATCGATCTCTATAATTTTTGTTTATACATGATTTTTCTAAAATGGACCGTAATGAAAAAATTGTAAGAAATTTAAATTTTTCAGTATTTTCGTTTTCAATGAATATCTATAGAAAAATGTTTCAAAGTAGATGTATGTGGACAATGTATATATTTAGTTTATCCTCTAAACATTTATAGAGATGCTGCAATAGGTTGTACAAAATAACCGGAAAAAGCCTATAATAACTAGATAGGAAAGTCATGTGTTGGACACATCAGATTTTTTTATTTTAAAAATTATTGAAAGTCATAAATTATTTTAAAATTAGTTATTTTGTCTTAATAACCTAAAATATTTGTTTTACTTGTACATTTTCGTTAGTGGGTCGTAGAAAAAATATAGTGTAAAACTTGAGTGGATTATCCACATCGCACTCAGACGATTTCGTCTTCGTGCGATATGACCATCACATCCACTCTTGTAGCACAAACTACTATTTTGAACGAGGATCAAATTAATATTGACTGCACCACAAACTGAAAAATAGTACCATATTATGAAGAGCTTAATTAAAAACTTGATAAACCTGTGTTTAGAAAAAGCGGTCATAAAGTAAATGTAGCCGTAAAGTAAAGGTGGCCGTCAAGTAAATGCGACCAATACAGTGACACTTTAAATCGACCATAAAGTAAATGCTGCAGTAAAGTTAATGTGGCTAAAAAATTGACATTTTAGGGATGTTATCTGTAAAATGTAATTTTTTATGAGGGTTGCCTACAAAATAAAATAAACAAGAAAAAAAGAAGAAAGATTTAATTCAATTTGTTCCCATTCCGAAAATCGAACTCTGGTCTACCGCATGGAAAGCAAGCGCGCTGACCTCACCACCATCCATGCGGTTAACATTTTTATTTTAACACTCATAATTAAATTGACTTCATATAGTTTTACTTATTTTAATTATTTTTTGTTTATTTATTTTTATTATTTTTAATCATTTTTATTTAGATTTATTTTTTAATTAGTTTTTATTAATTTTTATTTATTTAATGGAACTTCAAGTGGGGACTAAACTGTCGCAATGTCGTTTTTATTAGTTCGTTACTTATATTTTTCATGTCAGGAAAGCCATAATAAGTTTACTTCAAAATTTATTTTACCATATAAAGTATAATGTATTGAAAAATTTGTAAATTTAAATTGTCAAAACTTTAAAAAACCAAATGAAAATTTATTTTTTCTGAAAAGAAAGTTCATATTTTTCTAAGTAAATAATTAAAAGACAATAAAAAATCATTGACTTTTCAGCTCATATATATCTCCTCTTACCTTTTAAACACCCTAACTCTGATAGTTTAAATAATTTCAAAAATGCTAAATATCATTTTTATGTAAAACTCTATGCTTTACAATTTTTATTAAAAACTTTTTTGTATATCACCTACCGTTTTTAAATAACCTTAAAAAAACACTTTATTTTCTTGTTTCTTGCCACTTGGCGGGGCCTGAGAAACCAAATTTTTTTACATATCGTTTTCAAATACTCTAAAGTGACTTATCGAAAATTCCTGTATTTCCTCCAAAATTTTGATGTAAAGGTCTATTTATTTGATTGGATTATACATATAATGTTTGTAATAAAATAACGAATGTCCCTTTTTCTGCTCCTTTATAAAAATTTGACAACGTTGTTGGTTTTGACTCGTTAGTTGTTCGACATAAATTTTAAATTTTCAGGTAGCACCATCTATTTAAAAGTACGTGAATGTTGGTTGCGGTAATATGGTTAAAATTACGTTAAAAATGTGTCCAACACATGACTTTCCTATCTAGTTAGTACGGGCTTTTCTCGGTTATTTTGTACAACCTCTGTAAATATTTAGAGGTTAACTTAATATATACATTTTCCACATACATCTAACTCGAAAATTCTGAAAAATTTAAATTTTATAATTTTCCTCTAATTTTTCCATTATGGTCCATTTTAGAGAAATCATGTAAAAAAACAAAAATTATAGAAATCGATATGGCAAACATCCTTTAGTTCAACAATTTTCTTAAAAATCATAATTTTTAAATTTTATAAAATTTCTCGAATACGGACCATTTTAGGAAAATTTTGCATGGAACAAAAATTATAGAAAATAATATTAGAAGTAACTTTTATTTAAAATATTTTCTTCTCCAAACGTAAATAACAGATATATTCTATAAAATATAAAAACGGCCTCCCATAAAGTACCCCCCAGATGTTCCGCATTCGTCCAAAATCTAATCATTTCACGTCAGGCCAAAATAAAACTTAAGTTTAAAATTTAATGTTTTTTCCTTTATCCGTTTTTGAGTTTTCTTCAAAATTCGAAATTTACACATTTTCTCAAATATCTCGAATACGGTCCATTTTAAAGAAATTATGTATTGGAAAAAATTATAGAAAATTATATTACAAACAACTTTTATTTGAACAATTAAAAAAAAATATTTTTTTTACATTCTGTCAAATTTCTCAAATACGGACCATTTTAGGAAAATTTGCTATTTTTTGTTGTATCGGTCCATGAGTTATGGTGGATACAGACACACAGACATACAGACACAAACACACACACACACACATACACACACACACACACACACACACACACACACACACACACACACACACACACACACACACACACACACACACACACACACACACACACACACACACACACACACACACACACACACACACACACACACACACACACACACACACACACACACACACACACACACACACACACACACACACACACACACACACACACACACACACACACACACACACACACACACACACACACACACACACACACACACACACACACACACACACACACACACACACACACACACACACACACACACACACACACACACACACACACACACACACACACACACACACACACACACACACACACACACACACACACACACGCGCCCACACACACACACACACACACACACACACACACACACACACACACACACACACACACACACACACACACACACACACACACACACACACACACACACACACACAGACACACACACACACGCACGCACACAGAAACAGAGGCAGACGCACAGACACACAGACACATAGACACATAGACACATAGACACACAGACACACACATGAAACATTTTTACAATTTCGTAATTTTTTCCATTTTCTTTAATTTTTTTTCTTATATTTATTCAGGAAATAGTTTAATACCATAAGAATTTTATAGAAGCAAATTCGCATCGATTTATTGCCTATTAAGCTCGTCTTGCATGTTGAAAAATTCTCCTATGCTAATACATTTGCTAACGCCGCCTTAAGTAGGTCTCGACTTTTCATTAATGGAATAAACCACAAACAAATATGATTTCTTGCTTAGTTTTTACCTGAAGATCGACTAAATTGTACTGTTTTGGATTTTGTAAACAATCTGATTTTCAACTTCAAAGCCTCGTACCCTATTGTCACATGATTCAATGTACGATAGACTTGATCACTGGCTCATAAAGAATCCCAACCAAAGGATGTAATTTTGGACTGCACATGGACTGTTTTAGGCCATATCATAGGTCACAAATATTTTTCATAATTACTAGTTTGTATTTTTTTCTATAGATCTGTATGGATGGTATTCAATAAACATATTGTTACTAAAGCCTAGCTTATGAATATTTAGACATTCCTTGTACATTCCCTATACTCGTATATACATGTGTTTGAATTTTTATATTTTTGTGTTGGGGTGCCTGATTGTAACCTTTGTGTACAAAATAGGCTTTTTAAATTAAAAATCAATCTCAAAAGTTAGAAAACGCTTTGTAAATCCATAAAAAATAAAACAATGTATGCATTTTTTATTTTAGACTATAATTTCACATTATCACAAGCAAAAATCAATAACAAGAAAATTTAAATTTACACCTTTACAATTGGTAAATTAATATATTATTTATATACACTGATCTTGATTTATTGCTTCTTGGTATTGAATCAGCATCACCACAATGCCAGAAGACGAACTTATAAGCTATAAAAAAAAATATACAAATATAATTTATTATTTATTTAAACGAAATTTTCGTGGCTTGGACAAGTAAATATATATTTTAATATAATACCATGCGGAAATTGGAAGGAATTATAAATTCTGCCCGTGGAAAAGTTCCAACTTTCGATGTTCTTCAGACTATACCTGTGGAAGATACAGATAATTTTGAACAACTTAAATAGACGCGATATGGTCACGAACACTTGTAGAACAATTGAGACTATGAAAAACTAAGTGGACTAACCCACAAAATTGTAGTTTTCTTTTTTTGGTACTATTTGAATCTTGATACCCATATTTATCAAGAGCAAAACGGACTAAGCCACCTTTTATAATAGATCGCTAGATGGCAGTGCTATCGTTGTTTTGCTTTTGAGCAAATTAACATATTCATTCAAGAGCAAAGTGGTCTACCGCACTTAGTCCAAATTGGGGTTAGTCCACTTAGCTTTTCATAGCCTCAATTATTAAAGTCTACGATGAGTGGAACTCTGTCAAAATTAAGGAGGAACAGGAGAAAAATCCTGTTTTAAAGAAGATGCGACTATAGAAAGAATAGTTGTCGACCTATTTGTCAATAAGTATCAAAACTGATTCTCTCGCATCTTCAAATCGACAGCGATAGGATGGAGAAACGGTATGATACCCAAGCCACAGAAGAACCCAAAAAGACAATAAGAAGAAGAAAAATAAAAAAGAAACACCTGACCTAATCTTTGAAAATGTATGGGTGCATATGGAGATACCAGGAAAGCAAGATATAGTGTTACAACTGAGCAACGACAATATCTGCTTACATTACCAAAAGACTACACGTTGATCCATAGCATTCCTGCCAGCATCAACGATGCGCGAGGACTGACATCCGTTTTCCGAACGAAGTTTTGTAGATTACCAGAACTTCAGGGTTAGTTATCGGTTGGAAAAGCTTTGAAACTTTAAGATGAGTCACAATTTATTTTCTATCTAGCAACCAACAAAGAACAGTTTCCACGATCGATCCACTTATCTTCATGATGTATGATTACTTAGTATGCGGGAGCAACTAAAGTCCAATGAACATAAACTAGCCAGGCCAAAGATAGAGTATAACTAGCTGAATTGAAGGATCATTAAAAACATGGTAAAAGTAATCTTCCAAGAAACAGAGGTTCAACTACTGGTCCGCAGCTGTTCGCCCAGTGTCCAGGTTACAGCAAAGATCGTCTCTTATTACTTCTATGCAAATTAAAATTGTAAAAGAAGGTCCAGTTGCAGATACAACCATTCAATTTCAGTTCCAGAAAAAACTATCTCTTAAAGAGGGGGCAATGTGGATTCATGGCGAATATCCATTTTTAGCATCGCGAAGTCTCAAAAACAGGACTGGATTTATTTAGAGCATAATAAGTTAGTATACAGTGTGTCTACTTAAGTTGGAACCATATGGAAAACATTTTTATTATTGATTTTAGGAAAAAAGTTATTCTTGATAAAAAGTCCTGCATGACCCAAAACTTAAAATACAGTCATCAGATATCAAATTTTTCAAGCCGTGTACGAGGTTTGTCAAAAAATAGGAATTTTGCTCAAGAGTATAAAGTACGTTTATTTTTTTACAAAATCGAAAATTTTCATTAAGAAATTTGCTAAATTCTTCACAAACATCAACAAAAGGAAAGCGTATCATGTTTATAGTAGCTAACGTAATTTATAACGTTTTCAGATATTTACAATCAATGTGTAGAGTGTAGAGTTTATAAAAAATAGGAAAATCTGTTTTTTCAAATAGATCGGTGTAATTGCATATTTGAATGTAACATTCAATTCTAATCAACTTTTCTTAATGAAAATTTTCGATTTTGTCAAAAATAAACGTACTTTACTCTTGAGCAAAATTCATATTTTTTGACAAACCTCGTATACGGCTTGAAAAATTTGATATGTGATGACTGTATTTTAGGTTTTGCGTCATGCAGGACTTTTTATCAAGAATAACTTTTTTTCCTAAAATCAATAATAAAAATGTTTTCCATATGGTTCCAACTTAAGTAGACACACTGTATAAATAAATTATTTTGCCGTTTGAGTTAATTTAGAAATAAACATTGTCGAGTAAACATACATTTTTAAAGTAAATATAAATCAGTGTAATTTTGAGTACAAATAAATAGGTTGGTGTATTTACTGAATATAAATTAAAATAATTAAACTATTTACAATAAATAAATAAATTTAACATGAGTAGATAGATAATTGACAAAGCAAGAAATAAGGTCAGCACAGATCCTTGGGAAACATCTAGATTCCAATCATGTAAATCAGAGTTAACATCATTAACATTGACGTACATTTTCCCATCTTTAAGAAAATTAATCAGCCAATCCAAGAATATACCTCTGAAGCCGAGGTTATACTATTTCTTTTCCATAAATTTAAAAGACAGGTCAATGTGCTTTTCTGCATCTAAAGAGTTATAGAGAGTAAATAGTAGTAATTATACAGTTATATACTTACATTGAGTACTAAAGTACGATTAATCTTGAACAGGTCAAAAACAGTAAACGAAAACTTGTTATGAGACATTTGATAAGAAAATGTAAGTAGCTGTAAAATAATACAAAATATGGTTAGTAAAAACAATTACGAGATGTGATAAAAAAATACGGTAAATAAATGTTTATAGCAGTAACTGCTGACGCTACAACCATTTGATGTAATTTTTCCGATAGCCTGGTCCGTTGAGACAGGCAGTGTCAACTTGGAACACATTTTGACTTGTCAGCATCCAGAGACGCTAAAGTGAGGTTGTATTTAACGTGTCTCTCGCGTATCATGGATTTCAAACAACTCGTGAACAAAATTCTGTTTCAAGTTGCAAAAAAGTGTCAAAGAAACTCATTAAATGTTATTGTTGGTGTATGGTGATAATGATGTAACTCTGAAGACTGTTTATAGATGGTATGAAAGATTTAAAAACGGAAATGAGTCAGTGGAAGACGAGCAACGGTTGAGATGACAATAACCTCAAAAACAGAAGAAAACGTGCAATTTGTGGCAAAAACTGTTCGTTCAAACAGGTAAATAGCTATTAGAGTGCTGACCGAAGAACTTACTATCTCGTACAGATCCGTGCAAAGAACGATATTTACAAATGAGGCGAGTGAGTGCAAAATTTGTTCCCAGACTTTGAGTAATGAACAGAAAGAAAATCGTGTCTCAGTTTGCTAGAAGTTAAAGAATCATCTTCATTCAGATCCAGACTTAATGTCCAAAAGTGTAACTGGAGATGAAAGTTGGATCTATGGATATGACTCTTAAGATGAAAATTCAAAGTTTTCAATGGAAAACCAGTGAATCTCCTTGCTCTAAAAAGAGAGTCACGCTTATTTTTTTTTTATGTTTGGACCATAAAAATTAACTAATGGTGTCTTTCATCACGACAACATTGCGCCACTCTTCGCTTTTGATTCGCGAGTTTCTGACCGGAAAAAGTGTTCTTGTCAAAGAAAACGTTATGACATTATTCCTGACACTGAAAGGCTACGACAGAGTAGCTGAATGCTCTTCCAAAATAAGTATTCCAGAAATGCTTGCAGTCATGGATTCAATGTTGGAATAAGTGCATTGCTAACCAAAAACACTACTTTGAAGGAGATTAAATCAAATTCCATGTGAACGTATTACTTTGTTTCCAATATAATTATTCACCGTATTTTTTGATCACACGTGGTATAATATAGTCAATTTTAACTTGTACCTAAAATAATATGTGACACACTTTCAGAGCTTTATCTTTCTCATATACAAACTTCTATATTCATGAAAACAACAGGCAACATACATGCATATGTCTAATCTAACTGTCCTACGGCCGCAATGGAGGTGATCTTAAACCTCACCCCTCTACATTTTATGATAGAGAAAAAGGACACGATATAGAATGATCATGAACGGAGTAATCAGACAAAAGTCTACTTGCTTCAGGACTAAAGATACCTGGGACATGCACCAGGATAAAATGCTAAAGAAGTACAGTTTTGTGTAAAACTTAAAAACCACAGAGCTGGGCTGCAAGAAAGAATGGAACCAAGAATCCATCGCGCTTGCAACCGAAAGACATGCTATTCAGTTGTATACGGACGGATCCAAAACCATAGAAGGAACTGGAATAGGAGTATATGGGCCGAGAACCAAGCACTCTGAAAGCTTGGGAAAATACCCAAGCCTCTTCCAGGCGGAAATTCACGCCACCGAGAAGTGCATCTAGTTTAACATCAAGAAAAACTATCATAGACAAGAGATTATCATCATGTCCGATAGTCAAGCAGCCATAAAAGTGCTGAGCTCTTACGTAATAAGCTCAAAAATGGTTTGGAGATGCCTAGAACAATTGCATGAGCTGGGCGAGAAAAATAGAGGTACTCTCACTTGGGTCCCGGGACATAACGGGGTACAGGGCAACGAGATTGCAGATAGTCTTGCAAGAAAAGGGGCTCAAACACCCTTTGTAGGGCCTGAGTCGTTAGGAGAGATTAAAAAAGAATTGGGCAGTAGAAGAACCGATAATTGGAACAATTTCTTGGGACTGAGACAGGCTAAGACACTTCTGGGTGAATATAACCAGAAAAGATCGGAAGCCTGCATCTGCCTGAGCAAGAACAGGCTACGTATTGTAACATGGATCCTTACCAGGCATTGCCGACTAAAACGACACCTTAGTAAACTGAGACTAGTAGAGGATAGTGAGTGCAGATTCTGTGAGGAGGAGGACAAAACCTCCATTCACATTCTAACTGAATGTGTAGCACTCCAGAATCCAAGGGCACTATATCTAGGAGGATATCAAATAGAAGAGGGAGATTTACCTAACTTAAAACCACTCCAAATCCTACACTTCCTTAAGAAAATAGGATTGGAAGGGTCGATATAGGCATTGAGACATTTCCTTGGTGCATTAGCAACAGAATGGGGCACAATAAATCTTTTAGGTCGCAGTGTATTAACACACCATTTCCAACATAACATAACTGTACAATAAACTATCTTCCGTCACGGCCGCGTTAGTTAATCCCGCAATCTCCAAACGGAGACAGCATTTGTCACGGTACTAATCGCCAACGATTCCAGTAATTTAATTCTATATCAATTTTGGCTTCAGAAATTATCGGTATTATTCTATCAATAGTGTGTTTCTATTTCTCAGTCGTTACCCATCAATACACATTTAGCATAAGGTATAAATACTTGAAACTTATACATTTATTTTTTATAAACATCTTCGACATATTTGACATATTTGAAATATTTCAAATATTTCAAATATTTCAAATATTTCAAATATTTCAAATATTTCAAATATTTCAAATATTTCAAATATTTCAAATATTTCAAATATTTCAAATATTTCAAATATTTCAAATATTTCAAATATTTCAAATATTTCAAATATTTCAAATATTTCAAATATTTCAAATATTTCAAATATTTCAAATATTTCAAATATTTCAAATATTTCAAATATTTCAAATATTTCAAATATTTGACATATTTGAAATATTTGAAATATTTGAAATATTTGACATATTTGACATATTTGACATATTTGACATATTTGACATATTTGACATATTTGACATATTTGACATATTTGACATATTTGATTTGACATATTTAACATATTTGACATCTTTGACATATTTAACATCTTTGATATCTTTAACATGCTTGCCATCTTTGACATGTCTGGCCCATTCTGTTCGGTGTCTATAACGTGGGGAGAGTAGGTTGCTCCACGGAACTTAGACCTTTCTAGGCCCATTGTACATCCTCCTAAATTGTCAAACCTCTATTAACTCGTCAGCCAGCTTACAGATTTGATGTAGTTGACAACTTCGGTACGAGGTGCCTTTCTTATATCGGCCAGTGTTAGCCAAAACTTGCCGAACACAATTCTAATAAATAAAAGCGTCGGGCACAAGGGCGGCTCCAAGACGAATTTTCGGGGGGAGGGTCATTGCCTTTAGCCACTCCCTTTTTAGCATATTTTTTTAAATAAAAGGCCCATAAATTGTAAGAATTTTCATCTCGGGGGGAGGGGCTCTATGCCCCCCCCTCCCCCTGGAGCCGCCCTTGGTCGGGAAATCGTAGAGAATATGTTCGATAGTCTCATCTTCTTGTAATCGGGCGCAGATTCTCTCTAGTATTTGTTTGCTGTAGTGTTGTAAGGGTAACTTTAAAGCTTCCGCATTTCTGCAGCTTCTTGTTTCATCCCAACTTTTCTTGAATTTGCAAAGAAATTAGCTTTGTCACAACTTCTGACCCATTATAATAGGTGAATTTATAATGTTTCTGTTAAAATTCATCTCTTGAAAATGACATTATTTTAGTTTTATTTATGTTTACCCGTCTTTTATTTAATTTAGTAAAATATAATAATGTTTTTACTTAGGTACTTTTGCTTACCGTAATATGTAAAAATGTCTCACCTTTTGTTCAATCTGCATATTTCTTTTTCTGATTAATATCTTGTGGGCACTACTTCCTACTCTTTGCAGCTGAAATAGGAAAATTGCATACTTTATATGAAACTTAAGATTTGTAGAACATGTAAATAGTTTAATTAGCCAATGCTTACTACGTTCGTTTAAAACTGCTTTTTGAAAATAAGTTTATACTTATCAAGAAAATGAGGAAATATCTTTGTGAAACGCTCATCATAAGCAAACTCAGTTATGATATTGTCTATTACCCTTGTTTTGACATTATCACAGCAAATCCTATTTAAAAAGTTTAAAACACTTCCACTTCGTAAATATGATCATATATCAGACTTGTTTATGGGACTGGAATGGTTAAATAAACTCATTTGCTCCTGAATACCTTAACGAGTTGATTTTTAGAACGCCAATCTAAATATTAGGGCTACGTTCTGTATACCAGGCCATCTTGCACTGACAAGTACACAATGACGTCATAGTTATTTTGTCGGATAAATTGGAACGGAATTTTAAGATTTTAGAATTTGAGATTTAACATGTTTGTTGTACGAATAGAGGTCGACACTATAGGGCAGGCGACGGCTGTAACAGAGGGCCACAATATTCGCACTTACAAACAAAGTTTATTGGTCAAGAGGTATATCAACAAGCATAAATGCACCTTCGTCATTGATACTGGTGCAACCAGGTCTTTCATTCAAACAGGGTTTCTGTATCGAAAACTACGACCAATTCGAAGAAGGTTAGCTTTGGAATCAGCACACTACTCATGTTCAAGGCGAGATATCAGCAACTATACAGATTCGTAATACCCTGATAAAATACTTATTTGTGGTGGCCGATATTAAGGATCAGTGTGTCCTTGGTATGGACATTATGCAAAATAAGTTTATCATCGACCTTCAAAATAAGATTTTGGTAATTTGGAACAAGAAAATTGTTTTAAATTCGGAGGAAAAGGTCCTAGTGGAAAAAGATATAGAAGTACCCCAAAATTCAGGCGCTGTCGTCTCGGCGAGGCTTAGCAAGAAATCACATGGCTTACAAGTGGGAATTATGGAAGGTGAAGAATTTGTGAATCAAGGAATTCTGGTAGCTAGATGTCTGGTTGACGTAGATCAATTGATTCCAGTAAAGGTTGCCAATTCATCGAAGAGACGATTCAAACTAAAGAAAGGAGTAAAATAGGGCTTTGCACATCGGTGGAAAACAATTAAGTGCGAAGCGGTTTTACGGAAAAAGCCACCACAAATAACTCAGTTGACGCCAGCTTTGTAAAATAGCTAGAGTTAAAAGTTATGACCATCTGACAACTGAAGAACTAAGAAAAGTCAAAGAATTTATCAATACCAACTGTGACATTTTCTAAACAGGCAAATCTACGGGGCATACCAGTACTGTTATTATTTGTAAAGGATGAATACTGTACATAATCATATTAACTAATGTAGGTATGTGAATATAAATTTTCAATAAAACGTATTTTTTTCTTTTTATGGAATAAATGATTATGTTTTTCATTTATGTACCCAAGTTTACTTTCATTGAGAGTGTAACTACCTGGAACAGTTAGTTACAACCAAACTTCGATATTCGGTTTATAAATATGGGCCTTAGAATAAGCTATCTTTAATTTTAATGACTAAAGAAAATTAATTTTGGCTTTCTTCGTTTCAGATCTCTACTAAAATTTGTTTTTTAGCTACATAAAAATATATCTTTCTGTATACCGTTTCTGTTATTATGTGCATTCCTATATAGGGTGAATCCTAAGTTGATACTTTTTTGAACTGTGTACAGAAGTAATTAAATTAAACAACTTTTTCAAATAACTTTATCAAAAAACTGCACACATCTGGATTTGTGTGTTAAAATTTAGCTAAATAATTCGTCTGTATTTTACGGTTTTTCTCAAAAATGACATTGGCTTTATTGTCTACCGTATTTTAATTCAGTCGTCATTTTAGTGATGTATTTATCTAAAATATAGTGTTTCTAGTCTCAATCCAACATAGGCATTTTTACCGGAAGTGCGTAATAATTCGCGTTATAAGCGCTGAGAATGCTACCAATTATAAACCCTCACATTGCAAATAAGCGCGAATCGTCTTGGTTTAGCACTGATGTGGCCTAGTTAAGTTTTAAACATCAATGCACCTACAGTAGATTTCTTAGAATTGCTGATACGCTGGCCTGCTCTTTAGTTGTTCTAGCTTTGTTCAGTAGCGTGCACGGTCTGAAAAATTTTCGCTATTTCTCAAAGCGTTTGTTAAACTTGTTTTTATTTTTCGGTGTGTTAAATTTTGATTTGTGTTGTACGAGATGGCTTTCTGGAGACCTTTTGAGGTAAATGTAGATGCTAATGAATTGCAGGTTAATGATGATATTTACATTATTAATGAAATTCCAATAAATAATGAAATTCAGAATAATGATGAAGTACAATTAAATGCAGTACAAATTAATAATGAAATACGTATTAATAATGCAATTCATACTAATGACAATCAAGGTGAAACACAATCTTGGGAATTCAAAAATCAGGACTTATATATTCAAGTTCAACAGGTAATTTTTAATATGTTTGCTTGTCTTAAATCAGAAAATCCAAATATTTTACAAACAGATGCAGTTAAAAGAATATGTAAGTTAACAAAAATTCCCTTTTTCATAATTTATTTCGTTATTAAATTCTCACATTTGACCAGTAAAGTTCTTTTTATTTGCTTCCTGCCGAAATCAGCACAGTGAAGTAAGATGTTATAAACCAACGTTACCACATTATGTAATCTACCAATTTAAGTACAGTGTAAAAATGTTATAGTTTGTATCTATCAAGTTTAAATAAATAAGTAAAAGGAAGGTACATTTTTAATTTCAACCAGTGGAAGTGAATTCAAAATCCAGAAGTTGCTGCTCAAACTACCTATAGAATAATTACAGTCCATAGCCGAAGGAAACCCATCTACGTGACTTGGAATCGAGTAGAAGAATTCCATAGTCCGAAACAATATCCTTTAACTTGTGCCCATATCAGTTTGGGGATTTAGTTTGCAGTGATAGGGTGGAAGACGAACAACATCAATACCATGTGTTTTTGCAAGTTCATCCACTACATAACGTTCTGCAGGCTTATTCAATTCCACAATTTCTAGTAGTTCTATTTTTATTGATTTTTCTGAAATGTTACTGTTTCTGTCTGTTAGGGCCGATTCCACCGTTGTATTAAACGAAGATTAAAATGATATTTTTACATTACCAAGATCATTTTAATATTCGTTTAGTAATTTAAACTTCGTTTAACACAACGGTGGAATCGACCCTTAGCCACTTAATGATATTATCTTTTTTCCATGAAGGATTTTGGCACACGATCAATTAGACGGAAATGCTAATTAGCGTTATCCATAACTATAACTGAACCCTTTGGTAAATGTTCTATCCGTTGCTGAAAATATTCTTCAAAAACATCAGCGTTCATATCTTCATGGTAGTCTCCGGTTTTTTTTTTTAGATTGAAATATTAAAGAACCATGTTTTGAAAACCCGTCATCACTTCCAATATGAGTTATAGTTAGACGTCGTCCTTTACCGGAAGGAACCTTTAATCCTGTAGATAATCCTTCCAAAAAAGCCTGTCATGAAGATTGAATGTTGTGTCCTGCCACATTTTGCTAACTGTGTAACCTTCATTCACCCAGGTTTCTCCAAATAAAATATTTTTTTGCCTTCTACACGTAATTTAAAAATGGATCTGAGGTATCTCCGTCTCCAACAAACAATTTCCTCAGAATAAATAAGTGCTGTTTTCCTGTCCTGTTTATCCCACTTCAACTTTAAATCTATTAGAGTTTCCCGTAGTTTGTCTTTTTCATTTTAGGGAAATACGGATCACTATTGATTGCGTCCAAAACCTTGGCAAGTGTTGGTATCTCTTTTTTAAAATAAAATTCGTGAACTTTTCTTCTTATTCCGCTTTTAATTTGTTTAGTAAATTCCACTTTTTTCTTACCTCCTGCATTTTTCTTTAGGGGTTTAAAAACTTTAATTATGACAACAATGAACTTTGTAAATATGTTGCTTATTTATGATGCGTGTATTCAGAGTGCTACTGTTGAATCAGTATTATGCAGTGAACGCTTTCTTTTGAAAAGTGTGGACAATATTGTAGGCAATCCCTTTCACATTTAACAGGTTCAAGAATTATAACTTGAAGATTTCCCTCGCAAAGTTGTCTTGTGAATGGTTAATACGTCATAAATCGGGAGTCGGTCAATTGGGCGCGGCCGTTCGGACGCCGCCGTTCGGGCGCCGCCGTACGGGCGCGGCCGTTCGGGCGCCGCCGTACGGGCGTGGCCGTTCGGGCGCCGCCGTACGGCAGCGGGGTCAATCGGGCTCGCGGTCGGTCGGGCGCGGCTGTTCGGGCGCCAGCCATTCGGGCGCGAATTTTTTATATTTCATAATAATAAAGAAAAGCCCACTGGTAATATTTTCGAGATTTAGCAATAAATATAATTCTGACCATAATAATGGAATTATTAATAAATTTTAAGAGCCTACGTTCATAATGTTATTTTTTATTTTTATGTGATTTTCTTATATAAATGCTACTTCTTTCCGGACGATGTTATAATGTCGTCTTAGTTTGTACCATGCAAAAATAACTATTTTAGTTTTTTATTATTACTTATCCCTAAATATTTTTATTTATTGCTAATAATTCAGGAAAAGAGTGCAATACAATACATTTATATTATTTCTTAAAGATATTCAATAAGTACCCCAAAAGCAGCATATTTTGGGATTTCCCAAATCTTTTCTTAGTTACCTGTAAATTACTATGGGTAATTTTAATTCGTACAAGTACCCCATTAATAAATTTGTAATGGATTTATACCCGTCCAATTTAATATAAGTACATAATTTGTTTGCAATTAATCCCTTATTCCTCAGATAATTAACATAATATTTGTATGTAATCCCTTATTTCTCAGATAAATTAACCTTGAAATCGTTTCACTTAAAATTTATTATCTGAGTTGGTGAGGTGGGGATGAACAGTTCGAAAATAATAAATTTTTAACATTACTATAACAGTTGTTTATTAGCTTTGCTTGCTACTTTTTACGCTTTGACAGTGTGATTTTTTCTGCTGTTTCCTTTTATAACGACTGTGCTACCCTCACGTGTATTTTGCCTATCTGCTATTTTTCTTTTTTCTACAATTATTATTTTTATTCTGAGTACTCGCATTTGATGATGGAAGTGGTTTCTAGAGCAGGAAAGAAAAAATATGTCAGTTACGTTTTTGACAAATTAAGTGTGTGTGCAACTAAAGAATATTGGCGTTGTGAACTTATGAACAATGGGTGTAAATGTTGTATCCATATATCGAATGATGTAATAATAAAACAAATTAATAATCATTCCCATGACAGTAACGCAGCAAAAGTGGAAGTTGACTGCTTTCGTGGTAAAATAAAAATTCGTGCTAGAGAAACTATGGAACAAACGTGCCAAGTGATTAATGCATGCCTTAATGAGGCAGATTTATCACAGGCTACACAAGCAGCTTTACCAAAAAATGCAGTTTTGAAGAAAATGATACGAAGGACGAGAAACGTTATAAATGCTGCACCTCCAGCACCGTTGCGGATAGAACTCTTGATGATTCCTGATGAATACAAATTATTTAAACATAACGGAATTGCAGAGAACTTTTTAAGAGCGGACAGCGGACTAGAACCAGATAGAATTTTAATATTTGGTCGGGAGAAAAACATACATAAGGTTAGTATTAGCACAGATATTCAGAAATATGCGGCGTAAAAACTTTATATCTCTATAAAATAAATAATTTTCTAAACTTTTGTTATAAATAAATTGAGGGGCCCAGAAGTAAAAGGGTTCAAGTGCACTTTTTAAAAAAACGGTCTAAGTGCAGATTATCACACCTAAAGTAAACCTTTACTTAGAGGTAAAATGCTTCAAGTGTATTTTACGTTCCCTGGCGACATCTCGTGTAGACTAGAAAAACGTATCAAAATATTAACCAATAAAGTCTGTGGTAAAATGATTCAAGTGCACATGAACCGTTTTACTTCCAGAGATGTCTGTAGATGTCGGCTATTTTTAAAATGATTCAAGTACACATGAACCATTTTACTTCTAGAGATGTCTGTAGATGCCAGATATTTTTAATGTTTCACGTGTGTTAATGTGTTTTCGCAGGTACTTTTGTTAGTTCAAAACACATATTTTGCAGTGTTGATAGTGTTACATTGATAAGTAAAATGAGTACTGACTGGGAAAGTGATGGTAAGTACATTAATTTCGTAGAAAAGATTAAAATGTAAAATAACTTTAGGATTAATCAAAAGTTGGGTTAGATAATTTTTATTTTGTTTTTACAGAAGCTGATCCATTACAGACTGATGAGGATTCAGACTATGTTCCTGACATAGAAGTAGAAGAAGTTGAAGTAGTAGTACCAGACGATGAACATGAAAATGAATATATATATGTCACTCCGACAAAAACTAGACAAAGAAAACGGCGCCCGAAAGAGTGGAAAGCTAACAGTGCTAAAAGATTGCGGACAGAAGGAAAGGAGTATATTGGAAGGAAAAATAGGGTACAGAAAGCAAAAGAACTAAAAGAATATCCTCACGTTTGTAGATATCAGTGCAATGACAATATTAGTGAGGCCCAAAGGCAAGAGCTGTTTAGAAATTTTTATGAACTTCCTTCCTACGACCTGCAAACTGCTTTTTTATCTTCCTGCATTAAAAAAATTCCACCTAAAAGACATACAGTCGCAGCTGTTGCAAATAAAAGCTATAGCACTGTTATAACCTTAGTGGGAAATCGAGTTTGTAAACAATTTTTTTTACGCACTTTTAACATTTCTGTGCGACGATTTCAAACTGTTTGCAAAAAAACTACAGATCTTAACATGACCGAACCTGACAAGCGTGGCAAAAAGGAACCTCCAAATAAAATAAAGGAATCATCCAAAAATTTCGTCATTTCCCACATAAATATGTTCCCGAAATATAGTAGCCACTATTCTAGAAAAGACAATCTAAACGCAAAGTATATCTCAGGCGAATTGAGTATCAGTAAGATGTACAAATTATATGAGGAGTTTTGCATTGAAAAACAAGAGTTACCAGTAAAAGAGTCCTATTATAGGTTTATTTTCAATACGGAATTTAATTTAAGGTTTCACAAGCCTTATAATGACACTTGCAGTCGTTGTGACAATTTACAAAATCTAGTAAAGCACTCCACAAATGAAGACGAGATTACAAATACCAAGCGAGACCTCGAGCTACACCAAAGGAAAGCCAAGAAAGCAACAGACGCCAAGAAAGCTGATATTGCTGAAAACAAAAACTCCAAAAATACTGCTGTAATTTGTTTTGATTTGCAACAGGCATTGCCAACGCCGCTGTTAACAACTTCTAAAGTCTTCTACCTCCGTCAACTATGGACATATAATTTCTGTGTCTTTGACTTACTGGCTGGAAAAAGTCATATGTTTATATGGAACGAAACTGTTGCATCCAGGGGTTCGCAGGAGATAGGCTCATGCCTAATAAAATTTATTCGAAGTCTTCCATCAACAGTAACAAAGATTGTTGCATACAGTGATTCGTGTGGGGGACAGAATAAGAACATTTCTAAACTATTTTCTTTTATTGTTCAAGCCACAAATATAACTGAGATTCACCACAAGTTCCTTGAACCCGGTCACACCTATATGGAGTGTGACCGTAGTTTTGGCTTAATTGAGAAAAAAAAAAGGCAAATTCCTCAAGTTTTTATCCCAGCAGATTGGGAGACTGTAATAAGAGGCACATCTGCCAAATTTGTTGTATATGAAATGAACAAAGACGATTTTTTTTCTTTTTCGCCCTTTAATGAAATAATGAAAGATCCTAAAAAAGATAGTGACGGTCACCCCTTAAAATGAAGGGAAATTTGTTGGTTCGCTTATTACAAAACTGAACGACTATCGTTTAAATACAAAAGAACATTAAACATTGATGTAGATTTCTTCAGTTGTAAGATGCCAACTTTGCAAGTTGGACGTCCGTCTTTTAATTTTTCAATATTGAAGCCTTTGAACAAAACTTCAATAAAAATTAAATCTGCCAAGTACAAAAATTTGTTAACCTTAATGGATTACATTCCGCCAAGACACCACACCTTTTACGAAGGAATAAAGCACGATGGAGGAGAGGCATCAGAAAAAAAAAGGAAAAAAGGAACAAAGCCAAAAAGAGGAAGAAAGCGATGAAGATAACAACTTAATAGATTCTGATTACGAATAATAAATTTTGTGTTTTGTTTTTAGAAATAAGTTTAAGTTTAATGCAGTAATTGCACTTGAATCATTTCACCACCAAAAAATTTTTACCATGTGTATTGATTCAAGTGCATTTTTGCAAAAAAACAAAAAAATTGAAAGTTAAAAAAAATCTTTGTTCTTTGTAATGTTTGTTTGTCTTTAAATAAAACTAAAATATTTACATAGTTTCCTAAACTTATTCCTGGAATTTTGAAATTTAAGTTAACTTTAAAGCCATTTATCTCGGAACTACCAAAACTGCACTTAAACCCTTTTATTTCTGGGCCCCTCAATTATTAAAATAAAAATATGGGCTATAATTTACACTTTTCATATTTTTACTAAAACTCTGTATTATTTTTTAAAAATTACAATTTGTTGATATACAAATTCCAATGAGCACACAGTTTTTTTCAACGTAAATATAACGTTGTACGGCATAAAAAATGTTATTCAAATTTGAAATTTTATTTTAAAAATTAAACGTATAAAAAATACTATTTTCTAACGGATTTTTCTAGCTTTTTTAACCGAATGTTATTTCCTCGTTTAAAATTAACGTTTATTATTTATTTCGCTATATTTAAACAGAAAGTTTAAATATAACCAATTAAAGATTAAAATAATATTAGCTAAACTCAGTTTACAGCATTCTTTGTATAGAAAAAGTTTTTGTATTAGAACCTTCTTAACAGTTGGGTAATAATGAAAAATAAATCTCTACATTATTTCAATACTATTTACATTTTAATATTGGACTGAAGACTTTTATTTTATTTAATATACTAATAATATTAACGTTAGTTTAAATCAAATAAAAATATTATTGCATCGGATCACTTGAACGTTTGGTTTATATTTTAAACTAAAAATATACGTTATTTCTATATTAATTACCTATTTAACTTTATTTTAATATTTTTAAACGGAAAGTTAAACATTACGTTAAATATACGTAGAATATTAACGTTAGTTTAAAATACATAAGAGTCGAAATTAAAACGTTATTGTATTGGACACTTTAACGTATCGTTTATATTTAAAAAAATATTAACGTTATTTTAATGTTAATTATTTAACTATATGTTAATATTATATTTAAATGTTGTTATATAAATAAAAGTTGATAATTTTGTTAAATATACAAATATCAACGTTTAAATTAAATATGAGTCGTATAGAAAACGTTATTGTATTCAAACTGTTTAAAGTTTGCTTTATAATGGAAACCAAATATCTACTTTGTTTCGTTATTAATTAATTAAGTATATTTTAATATTGTTTTAAACGTTGTTATGTAACTAAAAGTTGATAATTTTGTTAAAAATACGGATAATATTACCGTTAGTTTAAATTATATAAGAGTCGAAAAAAAAAAACGTTATTGTATCCGAACACTTTAACGTTTTGTTTATATTTTTAATTAAAAATTAAAGTTAATTTATACAGTGAGCACCATAAGTCTTACCCCCCCTATCTAACTCGTTACTGGAGTCTTGTTAGGAAAATCGCCGAGACACTTCGATTTTTGATTTCTACAATGTACATTTTTGTATGAATAGTTTACCCTTAATTTCATCCCTTACTGGAGGGGAGCAACCCTTTCGAAAAATTTAAATGGCATGGGGTGGTGAGTGATAGCTCATTTGAAAGAGGGTTTTATTCTCTATTCAACGGTGAATAGAAATGAGATAAAAAAAACTTAGACTGAGTGGAAAAGCGTATAAGGGTTATAAAAGAAGTAACTCTGTGGTTATAACTCAAGGTATACCTAGACCTCAAAGAAAAATTTCAGAAACTTGCAAATCTGTTTCCTGCATAAAGGGTACTAAACACTTTTGCCAGTTATTTTCAGAAGATGGCAGATTTTCCATATTTACCAAGTTCTGGAATAATATGGAATCCTGGGAACAAAAAAAGGTGTATATAACGGGAAATGTTGAATATGTGAAAAAAAGAGAGAGTCTACTAAAGGTCCATCACGTCGAAAGGGGACGTATTTTTATTACTTACGAACAAAAGACAATGAAAGAAAAAGGGTATGCAAGAAGATGTTTTTGGGAACATTAGGGTTAAAGGAAGATATGGTACACGATTGGATTGGCAGTACTGAACATGGTTTAAATACAAGTACTATGGAAGAAGTAATATCATCAAGAACGCGTAGCGATAATGGCTTTAAAAATGAAAAAAAATTATATTTGAGAGAGTGGTTAGAAAGTTTACCAAAACTAAGTTCCCATTATTGCAGAAAAGATTCGCAGAAGTTATATCTTGAGCAAGTTTTTCGGACAAAAATAGATTTGTACCGTGTTTATGAAACTTACTGCAAAGACAATGATAAAAAAACCTACATTGTCAGTTTTCCGATATTTGACGATATGTTAACGCAGATGAATATTAGCCTTTATAAGCCAAAAAAGGATAAATGTGATGTATGTTGTTCTTTTGAAACTAATAATATAAACGAAATGGATTACAAAAATCATTTGGAAAGAGAAGATAGAGCCCGTAAAGAGAAGGAGGACGATAAAGCAAAAGCTTTAAGGGGAGAAACCTATACATTGGTTGTAGATGTTCAAGCCGTTAAAATTTGCCCAGTGATTAACGCAAGCGCAATTTATTATAAGATGAAATTAAATTGTCACAATTTTACCGTTTACAATTTGGCGACACACCAGAGCACCTGTTACTGGTGGAACGAAACTGAAGGCGACTTGTCGGCATCTACATTTGCAAGTTTTTTGATTTATTACCTGAAAGAAAATGATCCTAAACTGCCCATTGTCATTTACTCTGACGGGTGCTGCTACCAGAATAGAAATGTTGTTATGGCCAAGGCCTTGTTTCAATATTGCTTGGAGAATAATATTCTAATTGAACAAAAATTTTTAGAGAGGGGCCACACGCAAATGGAATGCGACGCAGTCCACAGTATGATTGAGCGAAAGTTAAAAAACCGTTTTATCCATTTGCCAAGTGACTACGTAAACATAACCAGAGAGGCCAGACGAAATCCCTGTCCAATAGATACGTATTACCTAACACATGGATTTTTTAAGGACTATTCAAAGCCATCCTCATGGAGTTACAACTCTATTCGCCCCGAAAAAAAAAAAAAAAGAATGAGCCTTCTGTTACTGATCTCAGACATTTGCAGTACAACCCAAACGAAAAAAAAATTATGTATAAAATTAATTTTAATCACAGTCTCCACCCATTGCCATGTACGAGTAGAAAGGTAAATTACCCTAACGTTACAGACTATCCCCCATTACATAAAGAGAGAATACAAATTAAGCTACAAAATTGGAAACATCACCAAAAGCTTAAATCTATATTGCCTGCCGATTGCGCTGAATATTATAGCAACCTTCCACATGTTTCATCATCATAGTAGGTATAGTCTTAGGCATTAAACTGCTATTTCCTCATAAAATAATCTTTGTTAATTTTTCTAATAAAAATCATTTTCTTGTATTTTGGTGTATTTATTTGCTATAAAAATATTATAGAAAATAGCCCGTATCTACAGTTTGCTTCGATTTACATTTGCATTTAAACGAAACTTGTGTTTTACTAAAACTTTTATTTTTTGTTAATTGAATAAACATAATTGAGTACTTTAAAAATAAAATTTATTTTGCTTGTTGACAGTTCTGCTTTTAATAAGTTTATTGTGTTTCCTGTAAAATTTTACATTTTGCAGATACGGGGTATTAGCATTAATCCATCGGCCAAGGCTTGCTAAATTCCCAATAGCTAATGTTCATTAAACTGTGTATTTTGACGTTCATTAAAAATGAAATGTTAATCACAATTTGGAGTGAGGGTAGCCATATGTGAGTAGTAGGGATTAAGTGTAAAGGTTAAAGAAAAAGTCCTTTATTTCTCACAAAGTCAATTTATTGGCGACCGGTTTCGAAGTTGTCACTTCATCATCAGGCACACCTAAATGGAATATCAAGGAGTCAGTTGTAATAAAAACAATTATAAAAGCATGAACGGACTTTAACATATACAAAATAACAGAAAAAACACAAAAGAAAGTTAAACAATAACCTTGACTCACCTTGACTAATTCCATAAAGGAAGCGCTACAAAAAGTTTAACAGAACGAGTTAAAAAAGTACGAAGGCGTAGAAGGGCCACATATTAAAAAAAAAAAATTTTCGACTTTAAAGTCGAAATTCCGACTTCAAACTCGAAATTTCGACTTTAATCTCGAAATTTCGACTTTAATCTCGAAATTTCGACTTTAAACTCGAAATTTCGACTTTAATCTCGAAATTTCGACTTTAAACTCGAAATTTCGACTTTAATCTCGAAATTTCGACTTTAAACTCGAAATTTCGACTTTAATCTCGAAATTTCGACTTTAAACTCGAAATTTCGGCTTTAAACTCGAAATTTCGACTTTAAACTCGAAATTTCGACTTTAATCTCGAAAGTGTTATGTTTACAAGACAGACATTCATTATAGTGCAATTGAGTGAAAATGGACGATGAAGCGGTAAGTAATAATCGTTTTAGTATGGAGTGATCCACAAAAAATGTCTCTAATGTAGGCATTGGAAAAATTCACGTATGTCGGAGCTATAGTTCTTCTTTTTAAGTGTTAGTTTCGTAAGTAATTATCACGGACATGACTCGCCTGTCGATCATGGCCTACTCTAAAAACATTTTTTGTGGATTAATTTTTATAATTATAATATAGGTAATATGTTTTTAAGTATTTTAAATACAGTGAGGACGTAAATTGTGCCTCCTCTTAACTTCTAAATGATGGAGACAAAACAAAAACGAGGTGAAATCAGAGAGATATGATAATTTTCTTATAATGAAATGCACTTTACTTGAGACGTAAGATAGAGGGTTTTACTATCTTTATATGTTCTATTGAAAAGTAGGGTCATGTGATACCTCATTTAAAATATGATTTTATTATCTGTACGTTCATGCAAACAATTTTTTGGTTTTCACAGAAATTACATTAAATAAATTAATGAAGTGTTACATTCTTGATAACCCTCGTATTTATTATTATTGTTTATTACTATGGAAACGCTTTTTACAAATTAAAGAAACACAATATTTACTAAAACATAAAAAACTGCATGGACATAATGATAATGAAAATATCTTTTAAATGAGGTATCACATGACCCTAATTTCCAATATAAGAATTAAAGATAGCCCTCTATCTTACGTCTCAAGTATGGTGCATCTCGTTATAACAGTAACATCATAATATTTCTCTAATTTCACCTAGTTTTTTTGTTTCATTTAGAAGTTGAGAGGGGGTGTACAATTTACTTCCTCACTGTATAGACAAATTTACACATATTTGTATTTAATACAGAGTGAAAAGTTAAATTGGTAGAAATTCTGTTACTTAATAAACAAAGGTTTCTCGAAATATTTCTGAAACATCTTAATTTTTATTTTCAATAGGGCATAATACAAAGAGGTTTATTAATATTTTTAATTATCTGGGGGCTTCCAGCAATCTCCACCTTTTTTTAATGGAAAGGTAGGTGGATTATTTTTTATTTTAAAGCTATTTCAATTGCAAATACAATTATTTTTTGTTATATTTTATCTCTGCTATTTTCTTTCGACGTTATTCAATAATCATTGGTTACTTATGAACCTCAACTAAAGATACCCATAAAATATTTTACTAAATATCCGAATATCTTCTATATCCTGGGATATAGACGGACATTTGGATGTCCATATTAGATCCACTGGACATATTGGATATCCACAAAATATATTCTGTGGATATCTCTGGGATTTCTTGTATTGTCTGGAAGATACCCATTAGATATACATAGGATATCTTCTATATTCTGGATATAGATGGACATTTGGATATCCATATTAGATCCACGGGATATTTCTGATATCCTGTGGATATATTGGATATCCACAAAAGATATTCTGTGGATATCTCTGGGATTTGGTGTGTTGTCTGGGTTCATACCCAACCGTATTCTTGAAGCCGTTCGTGTTGTACCCCCTCTTTACCTACCAAAGGCCTTTCTTAATACTATCCCTGCCCTAGCCTAGAAACATTTATTGTTACTCATTATTCCTTATGTGCTCGTTCGTGTATTCAGTGTTCTCGACCGATAACAAAGCTTCTTTTCTTTCTTAATTTCGGCGGACGTTACTACATTTTAGTAGATATTTGTTTCATTGCATAATAATACACAGGTTAGTGCATTCCATTGATTATTTTCTCTGCTAGTAATCCAATTTAAGAAAAATAGTGTACCTTTTAATTACTTTTTCGATTATTTACCTATTTTTTTGTATTCTAACTAACAAATAAGAGCAACTGAGATCTATTTTTTTTAATCTGTTCGTAGTTAACTGCTTTTATTATAGAGCTTTTTCCGTGTAAGCAGACAGTTTACTATTAATAGGTCATTGATTTTTTTGTTATTGAAATAATTTTACGGCTTTCGGTGAATTTTGCTAAATTTGAAATATCTTGTAGAACTTGATTTACTTATTAAACGCTACCATTGAAATAAAGCTCTATGTGTAATAGTTTGTAATGTAAAGGGCGTTGAACTGTTCAAAATTTCAAAAATTAATTATGAAATCAAAACTAAATTAGGTAACTATGTATTCATTATTTATAAGTGCAACACGAATGTCCCATAGTGCATAATTATATTTGCCATAATATATAAGTTATACAGAGTGTCCTAATTATGGATTTTTTTATTGTCATTAGAAAATTATACGGTGTCGTTTTGGATATTTTATAGATTATATCACACACAATGTAATAATTTCCTATATTTTTAGTTGGCTTATAGTCATTTATCATGTACCTACTTGACTAATATAGTTGATAAATCATAGTTGGTACATTTGGATGGTGTTATGCAACAAAGAACCAATCAACATTTTTTCAACATAACAAGTAGTTACCTCACTTCAGTAACTCCAAGAGGAATCGCTGGAAAATATTTTCTACTAGACACTAGATGGCGTAATGTTTATGACCAATGATAAACAGATAAATGAGTGGGTAGTCGAAGTTAATTAAAATTTGGCATAGATTGCGATTTTCACATTTTTAACATAACTTAATTTGACATTATTTTGAAAAATAAACCTGTTTTATTAATTGGCCCTTTAGTTAGTAAGAAAAAATCTCAGATCTATATAAGATCATGTTCCTTCGATACGGACGACGTCCTTTCTTATTTATATGTACATATGATACAAAAACCGTACCTAGTTACTTAAAAACTGTTTGCTTATAATATTATTATGACTTATGCGTAATGTATACAAATGTAATAACCGATTTATTTTATAATTTACAGCATCTAGACATGTCGCTGCAAGACTTTCTAAAATGTAGAGGATTGCCAGAAGCAGTAATTCAACAGTTTACGGATGAAAAGGTAAGTTCAAAGGTTTTTTAGAAACTGAAAAGGCTTACACTAGCCACTATTTTTTTCATATAAATATTTAATAGTGGATCAAAAAGGTTTTGCTAACAGTAAAAGTCGTATTATCTTAGTTGTTTTGATATAGATATACCTTAGTTAAACCAATGCTACCCTTATCGATATAATTTTCAATGGTGTACATATGTATAAAAAAGAGATATTTTAGAAATATCTGTATGTACCCAAGAAATTATAGATTTTATTTTGTATATTTGGGATACATTACTGAACTTTTAAAAAATATTTTACTAAAATTAAAATTAAACAAACGATTGAAAAAAATTTCGTAGTAGAATTTGCTGTTTAATTTATTCCAAGTGGGTGGAAAATAAAAATAAATCGGCTGATCCAGCGCTTCGAATAATACGCTGGTAGTGAAAATATGGTAATTGAAATTGAAAAAATAAACCATTTTGATAGACTCGAGTAACATGCAGTACAACTAACTATACAGATACATAATCTTATATTATATGCCTTAATGTGAGTTTAACAAGGTATAATAGGAACATGCACATATCGGGTAGAGACTTCTATCACTCCTAGCGCATAAATCTGTCTGATATATGTAGTGGAGCGAGCAGAAATCGAAGTCGTATCGAAGCTCGCTGACAGCGGTATCTCTCTGTTTTGTGTATATTCCTATTAAACTTTGTTTAGCTCATTATAAGACATATTTTCCGTGTCTCTATGTGCAAGTATCGAAAATTATTGCTAAGAGTTTTTTATCAGCTTTTCTTTGTTTCAGATTGATTGTGAGACTA